ACAGGAAGATTACACGGCAGTTTGGTTACACTGGGAGTGTACCTGGGCGTGCGCGGTGTGTGCGTACATGTGTGTGTATGCACAGTGCAAAGACCCCGTGTCTCGCAGTGGGGCGAGGGTCCCAAGTGATGATCACCCCCTCCTAAGCCACACCTGGAAGGTTCTCTCTGGCTCTGGGCATGGCACTTCATGAGGAAGCCACTCCAGCTGCAGTGCTGTGTGGGGCGATAGCTCAAGAGCGGTGTTAATCAAGGGACATTTGGCTGAAGGGTACAGTGTTCAGGGCAGATGGTTGGAGGCGGGGGTGGAGGTCGGGGATGGGGGCAGGGCAACAGGCCGGAGCTGTCTAGGATTGATCTTCAGACGGAAATACGACTGGCAGCCTCTCTGGGGTCACGACCCAGGACAGAGACACTTTCCGACAAGCACCCATCTGAGCAGCTTGTCCCACCGACTCTGACTTGCGCACCTGTGCCGTGCACGGCTCCTCCTCTGATGCTGCCACTTGTCCCTAAGCACCTCCCAGCCTGGGCCCGGACCACTCTGTACCTGCACGCTTTCCCAGAGCAAGCAGCCCACCCGTGAGCCTCTTTTCAGGTACGACTGCTTTCTCGGGACCCTGTGTTGTTCCTGAATCCTTCCCTGGGCCACGTGAACACCCAGGGGACTTGAGATGCGGCTCTGGGCCTCTCCAAGCTGAAAGGTAGCAGCACAGCATCAAAACCTGCAAGGGAGAAGTCCCAGAGGTGGTCGCCTTCGATCATGCAGCACAGAATGGACTCTCAGCAGGTGCTGGGCTAGATGTGTAACAGGAGCAGCATCCTGACGCAACATGAGTTCATTGACCAGCTCCTCTGTGTATCTCTGGTCACTGCGGGGACAGTGGCCAGGCCACCACAAGCCACCTCAAAGGCCTGGCTTCCCCAGATGAGAGTGGACAGAGGTGGTATGGATTTGTTCAGGAGGGGCAGGTGTCCAAGAACATGGCATAGATATCAGTGGAGTTCAGCGCTGGCCACGGCTCGCTCTGCCTGCCCTTACAGGTGGGGGCTCTGGGAACTGGGTTTGCCTCACCATGAGGTGAATAAGAGGGCTGGGGTTGGACACACACCTCCATGGTGATTTCTCTCCAGCCCCACAGAGTCCAGCGCAGTGCCTGCCCGGGTCATGTGAGCACGTGGAGGGCAGGAAAGGCTCTGGGCCCTCGGAAAGGTGTGCCCGCCCACCCCCGGCAGCATCAACACCTGAGCAACAAGGACGGCCCAGGTGGAGGGCTGGAAATCACCCCCTCACTGTGTACATCCAGCTGGGCTGCCCCACGCGGAGCAGAGCACGGGCCACACCTGCCATCTAGTGGCCAGGACGAGTCCTTCCTGCCACAGCATTGTCGACCGAGCAGTTTCTGACTCAGCAGGCCTGGAGTGAGCCTTGGGGATGGTCCCTGCTAGCCAACCTCTCCACCCCTCCCCAACATACAGACACCCCAACTGGAAACCGTGAGGCTTGGGAAATGACACTACAGGACGTAGAGTTAGCAGGAGCTGGGATGTTTAAAGGCTTTTTATTTCTGGGGAAGGCAGTCAACGTAGACCTCGAGATGGGGACAGAGGGCGGTTCAGCCTGCGACCCACCAGGGAAGAAGAGCAGGTGGGAGGAGGTGGTTTCCAGGATGCAGGTCTGTGGCTCAGCGTAGATGCAGTTGGCAGCAAGGTGCACCTGGGCACCGCGGGGTCCAGCCAGCAGGTGGGGGCTCATGTGAGCCGGAAACTCAGAAGTCTGCAGAGTGTGGGCCCACCGTTCATCCAACTCCTAAATTCTACCGTTACTGTTAGCTGGGCTGCTTTATATCCTACCCATCTGTCTCGCTATCTGCCCATCGTCTCATTGCTGACACCTTTCAAAGTCAATTACAGGCACTGATTCAACAGGAGGCACTTAGGGCAAACTGTCTCACCTTGAAGAATTGATCCCAGCACCATAGCCTAGTGGCTAGAGTCCTCGCCTTGCACGCCCCGGGATCCTATATGGGTGATGGTTCTAATCCCGGCTGCTCCACTTCCCATTCAGCACCCTGCTTGTGGCCTGGGAAAGCTGTCAAGGACAGCCCAAACCCTTGGAACCCTGCACCCGTGTGGAAGATCTGGAAGAGGCTCCTGGCTCCTGGCTTTGGACCAGCTGGACTCGGTGGTCCTCTGAGCTCCTGCGGTGTTGCCCAGCCTGTGTACACCTTGTCGGAGCCAAGCATTTCACACAAGGGGGTCGCACTCTAGGGAGTTGGGTCCTCGTCCCTCCCCAGGGCGGCGGTGGGCTCAGCTGTTCCCTGCAGAACCTTCCAGTGTCAGCAGTGGGCTGTGCAGTCACACAGGCTCTGGCCATCTCTGGGGAATGCGCCTAGGGGAGACACGGATTTGAAGGCAAACACTGACCCCTAGTGGCCTAGCCTGGAATCCCTCCATAAACTTGGTGTGTGGTGGGATGCATCTGGATATATATATATATTTTTTTTATATTTTTTATATTTTTTATATTTTTATATATCTGGATATATATATATATATATTTTTTTTTACTGCATTTTCCTTTTGTTCCTCCACCTTCCAAGCCAGACCGGGGGAAAGCGTCGGGGAGGGGGAGGGGAGGAAGGGGCGGCTATCAGGAATGTCCTCACCCAGACCTTCCAGCTTTTTGTTTCAAATGCCCAGACCTTAGAGAGGAAAGGGCGGTTATGGCATCAAAGAACGGGACTGGTTGGACACCTACAAAGCACCCTGACAGGAAAAGGCGGGGGGGGGGCTTTGATTTCTTGAGAAGCTGGGGAATCCAAAGGGCAGGTGGCACTGGGGCCCAGGCGGAGAGGTGGGGAGGCTTTGGTGCCGGACTCTGCCGGGAGCGGGCACTCACCACACACTGGGCACCACACACTCAAGGCGCCACCCCGCCTGGCACGTCCTTTCCTCTCTGTTCAAGATCAGGAACCAAAGCGCGATGAGAGGGGAACACAGGGGCCTTGGATGCTGCTGGACAAGCCAGCTCCCCCAACCCCAGGCCGGCCAGCATCCCCATCCCACGTGCCCAGACTGCCCTCAGATGCTACCTAGCGTCTGCACGGACATCACCTTGCCCAGGCGGCTGCTCCTCCACCTTCCTACAGCCCAGAGCCATGACTGCCTCGGTTAATCAGCTCCGGTTCCTACGTCAGTACGCCATCAGCCTGGAGGCCTCATGGTTCCCAGTTCTGGGGACTCGAAGTCCAAACTCAAGATGCTACGTTCACAGTCATGACCCGCCTGCTGGCCTGCAGGTGACTGCCTTCTTCCTGCCTCGCCTGGTACAAAGCTCCTCACACCATCACCAGGGCCCTGCCTCATGCACCCCGTGGCCCCCAGACGACTGGCTGGCTGGCTGTCGCTTGCAGCCACCCAGCTGCGGCCCCTCATTTACAGAACTGCATAAGGACTGGAGTGGGGAGGCGTGCCTTGGGGGGGGGCGGGTCACTGGTTTCTGAGTGAGATTCCCAAAGGCAGGAGCACTTGTGGATGAGAGTATGACCTTGACCTTGAGGGGTCTCTTAGGTGTCACCAACTGGGAACAAAGTCTCTGTGAGGCTTAGGGAATGGACGAGGCGGACTGAGCGGGGAGGAACTTAACACACGACACAGCAGCCTGGTCCGAGGGCACGTCCAAAGGCTCCTGGGAAATGTGTGTTACAAAGACTGTGAGGGTTCTGGTGAGCTTGAAGCTCCATTTCTGGAGGTCCCCCCAGCATGGCACTTAGCTGGGAGCAAAGATCGGGCACGGCCGTGCACGGCTCCCTAATCGTGTTCCCCGACGCAGGCAACACGTATCCCACTCGAGGTGGGAGAGACACTTTCACAGGACGACAAGGCTTGGAAACTGTGCCACGAGGAACACATCTTTAAAATGCAATGAGGGCACAGCACAAAAAGCCACAGCCTGACACCAGCATCCTGTATGTAAGCGCCGGTTCGAGTCCAGGCTGCTCCATATCCGTACTCATGTGCCTGGGAAGGCACCAAAAGACAAGTTCTTTGGCTGCTGCCATTGACGTAGGAGACCCAGATGGAGTGACAGGAGTCTCTGGGTTTGGCATGACCTGACCTTGGCTGTTGCAGATCCTGCCCTGGTTTGTAACTCTGTTTTACAAATAAATAAATCCTTACAAACAAAAAGGAGATAAGCGCAACGAATATTAGCCCTTGCTTTGTTACTAATGCGAGCTCTTAAACGTATACCTTCTCTCTTGCTCTGCAGGCATTTCGCAAGGTTGAAAGAACGCAAGGTTGACTTGGCCCTGCCATGTAGTTCCTAGAAGCCGACACGAGAGGGCAGCAGCGTCCCGTTGTTGTCCTCCCGGCTGAGTGCGACAATCCCCCCCCTTTTCCTGACCCTGTGATTGCAAGGTTCTCCTGGGGGACCCCGAAGCAGCCCCACGGGGAGGCAAGCAGCTGCTCACCTTCCGCTTGGCGCAAGGAGCGATGCAGCGAAATGCACGTTTTCTAAAAGCTCGCTGGCATTCTCCCAGCCTCTGTTTCCCAAGTGAAATCCTATTTTACATTTTCCGACTTTACACCTGCCTTTGAAAGAAAGCTTACAGAGCCATTCTGGGGGGTCCTCAAACACAGGCCAATATTGTGCAAAAACCCAACCCCATCCAGGACCAATCTGCCAAGTCACCAATTCATCAGCTTTGTCTATCTCCATCCGTCTGCAGGGGGAGGTGGTGTCGCAGCCTTTGGGACACAGGGTCGGTCGGTAACCACCACCAGCCCACGGAAGACACGCACAGGCCAGGGGCCAGGGAGGAGTGAAGGGGTGAGGAAACCAGGGTGGGAGTCCACAGGCCGCTGACTGTGAACGCCACCATTGCCCCGTCTGCCTGGGGACACAGGTTCAAGGGAGGCCCCCTCTGCAGCCCTGCACCTGCCTGGCCTGCACCTGCCTGGCCTGAGCAAGGGGCGGTGCAGCCGAGCGCCACCTACCGACCACGATGAGGACCTCCCGGTCGATGTGCGCCTGGATGTAGATGCGGCCGCGGCGCTCCGTGTGGTCAGTGCCGCACAGGCTGGGGACGTTCATGACGCAGCGCTTGTGCACATTCATCATGCAGGCTGCGGGGACAGACGGGGCGAGGGGCTCAGGCTGCGGGCCGCACGCAAGTGCCCGCTCCCACCCCCACCCCCGGCACCCACCTGCTGGGCCCTTCCCTCAGACAGACCACCACCTGGCCCTGCCATGAGCTCACCTTCTGGGGCTCCTCCAAGTCTCCCCCAGCTCTAACAGAGGAGGCTGCACTTGCCACCACCCCCCCACACACACACACATACACACCAAAACACAGAGCTGCGGGCCCAGGGTGCAGCCTGAAGCAGGGCCTTGAGACGCCCCCCCCAGCATGGGTCTGGGGGGCTCCAGCTGTCAATGAGTGTGTCTCATTGCCTGCACTTGAGTGGGGTCTCTGTCTCGCTCCCCCTTGTGTGTGTGTGTGTGTGTGTGTGTGTCCATCTGTCCCCTGTCTGCCTCTGGGTGTCATTGTGTGTGCACACCCCCCTCCAGCCCTCCATCACCCACGCTCTGCCCTGTGAGTGCCCCCTCAGTACAGGCCTCAGCATAGCCTGGCCTACTGCAACACCCGTGGGTTCCTGGGAACTGCTAATACTTGGAGCCGCCCTGTCCCTTTGCTGTCCCGACTCTCAGAGCTGGTTCACTTTCTGCCCCCGACTCTGCTTACAGAGCAAAGAGGAATCCAGCTTTCTGTCTGCCTACCTCCCCACTGCCCCCACTGCCCCCACTGCCCCCCACTGCCCCCCACTGCCCCCCACTGCCCAGCCTGGCCAGCATAGATGTGTGGATGCCAGACAACCCATTTCAATGCCAAAGCACACATCAGCCCTGACAAGCGGGGCTGGGAACATCTGGGTGCCAGGGAGCCACACCCACAGGGAAGAACCCTCTGCACTGCCTGCGCCCCTTGCCTTGCTTTGCCCCAGGGGACAGGGGTAGGCAGGTGAGCAAGGACTGAAGCGGCCTGGCTCTTGGGACCCTGTGACTGTCATGCGAGCAAGCCCAGGCTGGCCTGCTGTGGCTGCAAGACAAATGACCCTGTCGTCCCCATTCCCCAGGACCTCAGGCCATCCATCAGGACATGACGGGGGCAAGGGTACCAGGCCCAGACAGCCCCCCAGCCTGCTTGTTAACCCACCAGGTACACCCAGCCCCAAAGGACTGCCTTTAAGAGCCACATGGTAAATGAATGGGGGCTCTTCGAAGCTATTATGTGGACCCCAAACCAGGCAGCCATCATCTGGTGTGTCTTCTATGAGAGGCATGCGTTGTCAGAGACCAGAGGTACCCAGCACAAGTACTCACTGTCACATTTCATCCCCTGGTGGATGAGTCCGTACAGCAGGGATCCGCAGTGGTCACAGAATGTGGGGCTGGAGTACGTGTGGATCTTGAACTTGTGTTTGCTCCGGGGATCCTAAGGCCAAGGGAAACAGACAAAAGAAACCAGTGTGAGCGTGGGTGCCCAGGACCCCCAGACCTCTCCAGGATCTGCGCTTGGCTGCCAATGTGTCGCGTGCCTGTTGGACCCATCCCGGAAACCCAGTGCCCAGACGCAGTGCTGGACAAAACAACCACTGCCTGCCCCAGCACACAACCAAGCCACCTGCAAAATCCTCCAGCTGGTCTACTGGGAAACTCAAGGGAAACTCCTCAGTTAGAAGTCAACAGAAGACCTTGGCATTCCTGACTATTGTTGAAGCCTGGGGTCAAGCCTGGCCAGGGCTAACCATCAAGCACCTGCTGTGAAGTGTCACCTTTCCTGTCCTCTTTCCCTGTAATGGGGCAGCACGACTCCGTTGGAGGATCACCTTCTTGTCCCCAAGCTTTCCTCCCTCCATCATGCCATCCCTGCGTGTGTAACCACGCAGGCTAACTAACCACAACTAATGCGTGCCTCGTCCACCTCCTGATTTTTTCATCGTAAAAATGCCCTCAGCTCCATGTCCTAGTTCAACAGATGGTCTTCCAACTTCTCTACGGCCTTAACTGCTGCAAGTTGCAGAAACTTGGTCCCAATAAACGGCTTTTTTTCTTTCACGGCCCCTCCGTCGCAAGAGTTGGGGATATAATCATTTTAACAGCAGAGAAAAACACAAAACAGAAAACATCTTGTGCGCTCAAATCCTCCCCCATGGACAGCATTTAAAACATGATAGCATAGCTCGAGTCAAGTTGCAGCCCACACACACTAACCGCAAGCCACCTGCTGCAATTTGGCTCCCTGCTCCATCACCACGGCATCTATTGCCCTTGGCACATGGAGGGTGCACGGGCGACAGAAAAACCCTGAGTTAACAGTCATGACTCCAGCCTGGGATCTCCCAGGCTCACCCTCCTGAGAGCTGCACAGCGTGCCCGGAAAGCACGCACTATTTACTGCCCTCATTTTCCGGTGAGGAGCAACAGGTGGGGGGCTTGCCCACAGCGTTGTGCATTGTGGGTTGGCACAATGGTAAGAGACCAATGAGTCACAAAGGCCGCAGGGAGGTTTCCATCAACAGCCTCCGAGGGCCCCTGAGCCACGTCCGAGCTCTTCTCGGAACACAGCCTACAGTGCGCTGGGTGTGACCCAGGAAAGCCGGGCAGCCCAGTAGCAGGGACACGCTACCCCTTTGTCGCTCATTTGTTTGTTTATTTTCCAACTCATTGCAGATAGAAGTTTACTGCTTAATTTGAAAAGCAGAGATACAGGGAGAGGGGGGAGAGACAAAGAGACAGATCTTCTATCTGTTGGTTTCTTCCCCAAACTGCTGCAGTGGCCTGGTTTGGGTCAGGCTAGCACCAGTAACCCCGGGCTCCATACGGGTCCCCCATGCACCTGGGTCAGCATCATCTCTCTCTCACAGGGGCACTAGCAGGAAGCCGCATGGGAAGTGGAGCGGCCGGAACTCAAACCAGGATGTGCTGGCGGTAGCCTTACAACGCCTGCTCCACCTTCATGGCTGAGAGGGTGTTGCTGGAGGCTCCTCCGGCCTCACTCCCCTGCCTCAGCTTTCACAAGAGTGCACACTGACAGGCACCAAGTTCACACCCTCCACCCAGCCCCACCCTGTCACTGAGACCATCTAGACCAAGCAAACCATCCTCCAATCCCTTCTACCCCCTCTCTTGCTACACTCCCACACCTGGGCCGCAGCTCAGGACTCTGGGATCCCAGAGGAGACCCTGCCAGTGTATCTGTCCGTGCCTGCCCAGTGCCATCCCCACTGATCATGTCTGCCTTTTGAGACACCCACTCTCCGCACCCGTGGCTGGCTGGAACAGAGGCACACCTTCGGCACCAGTGTCACTTTTGCCAAGCGGCTGGGATCTAGGTAGCTTCAGGCTAAGGTAGGCAACCTCTGCATCAGAGGAACAGAGACCAAAAAAAAAAAAAGATGGCGGTCACATGACCCCAGTGATGGAGCTCTGTCCCTCCCTCCCTGCATCTCCGTGTGCCTCAGCCAATCCAAGTGGACACGTGACCTGCACCCGGAGCAGAAGGACCTCCTCGGTCCCCTGGGCTCGGGCACTGCCCACTGACCCTGCGGGGCAATCAAGCTTGTCCAATCAGCAAAGCCCAGCCGTGCGGGGAGGTGGTGACTCCTTCATTGACAGGCATTGGAGAGGTGGGAAGGAAGTGGAAGACTCCGCTTCAAATGAGGCGACCTTGCTTTCCAAGTTTATCAAACTCCAGAGACACAGCCAGCTGAGCGGGGACCCCCCCGAGAGTCACCTGGGCCACCTGCCAGCTCATCGGCATTCCTAGAGGGTGTCCCACTCAGCAAGGGTCCCCTTCATCTCACGTAGGAGAAGCACCCACCAGGGACAGATCATTCGTGGGCCCCCCAGTTCCCCTCCAATCAATAGCCCCCTAGAACCATCAATGCCCAGCACCACGGGATGGGTAGACCTCAACTTAGGATCTTCAGGCTACCACCTGACTGTAGGCACAGGCAGCTCAGGGGGAAGGAAGCACAGATCAGAGACCAAAAGGAAGAAAGAAAGGAAAAAAAAAAAAAAGGACCCAACTTTAAACCACTAAGTCAACACCTAAAATAGTTTCTCTCGGTCTGAATGGGCTGGGTGCTGGGTTCACAGGTGGGTGCCTGAGATCTGGCCCAGCAGAGTGAGAGAGAGAGAGAGAGAGAGAGAGAGAGAGAGAGAGAGAGAGAGATAGGAATGAGGAAGGCACAGTCAGCAGTGTCCATTGGAAGAACTCAAAGGCAACTACATATCAGGCTGTGGTCCCTGACGGGCCAGGAGAGCACCCACAGGCGCATGCCCCACGGGGTAAGTGAGCAGGGCAAACTCAAGATCCCAGCTGGAAACATCCCAGAACCCAGGGAATTTCGCCAGTGCAGGTGTGGGACCTCACGTGAGAGACCAAAGCCGAGCTAATAACCGAAGACAGTGCGTGGAGTGGAGACGGGAAAGCTCTCAGCTCAGGACCCGCCCACAGGAAGTGCAGACTCTCCATCTCATTATTCCAGAGAGCAAAGGCGGCGATGAAGACGCTTCCCAAGCCTTGAGCTCTGCCCTGCATCTCTGCACCACCCATAATGTCACTTGTGTGTCACTTTTCTTTAACTCCGCGTGTCATTTTTTTTTTCACTTTAATAACCTGTTTGAAAAGGAAATTCTTCCCAGAATGCAAACTCGTGGGTTCCATGGGCAACCTAGTATACGTGAAACTGAAATAGACAACTCCTGAAATGTTAAAATGTTCACCTCAACCATCTTCCTGCTACAAGCTGGGGAGTCTTGGTTGCACCTGCTCCAGGTAGAGCAGTAAGTGTTCCCTCAGGGGGCAACCTGGCACTGTCAAAATTACAAAGGCATTTTGAAAATCACGAGTGCTTTTCCCTTTCGAACCAGGCATCACATCAGTGGGAAACTTCTCCTGCAGGTGGGCTTGTATACCTAAAAAAAATCACACCTGAGCATGGTTCTCTGTCAGAAGAAAGGGAGAAAAGCCAAGGTGCAAGGTGTATCTTGCATAATGCCTTTTGGGTGAGAAAAATGAAGCGGCCTAAGAAAATATTCTCACTGTCTGTCTTTTAAAAAAAATTTTTTTTAATTAATGTTGACTTATTTGAAAGGTACAGAGGCAGACAGAGAGATCTTTCATCACATGGCTTGCAACTGCGAGAACAAGGCCAAGTTCAAGCCGGGAGCCTGGAGCTCAACCCAGGTCTCCCACGTGGGTGTCTGCGACTCAGTGGCTTGTGCCTTCACCTCCTGCCTCCAATTATCACATTAAGAAGCAGGAATCAGCAGCAGAAGCCAGGAACTGAACCTGGCACCCTCATGTCAGATGTGGGCGTGCCAATGAGTGCCTTCCCCAGCACACCAACAAAACGATTATATTATTTACAGGTCAAATACACACACACCCCAAAGAAATGCTGGAAGGATACATATGAGGTGTTTCCGGGGGGAGGAGAGGGTGCAGTGGGCAGGGAGTAAGACTTCTTGGCATAAGCTTTTCTATAATTTTGCTGTAGACTACATCCAGGCTCACCCTGGTACCACGAGACTTGGGAACACGCTGGCACAGCCCTGCGCCCAACTGCAGACCAAAGGGCCAACACTGGGCCCCACGGACAATGGAGACAGCAACGTGGCTTCCTCTAATTTGAACAGCTTGCACTGCATACATTTATGAAAAATCACTGTTTGTCGAAAACCATCTGAGAAATAACTCCCCTGATTTGATCACCACTCATTCACTGCACAAACCGAATGATCACGCTGCACCCCAGGAAAATGCATAATTGGAGATTTTTTAAAAGACCAGAAAATGTCCCCATGAGGCTTTTTTTTTTTTAAATCAGGGGGGATCTTAATTGAGACCAGGTAAATTTGAATTCAATGAACTTGGCGCGTGCCCAATGATGGAAGCTCTACCTGCATACTCATGCCACAGCTGCAAAGAGGACTCCAGCTCGGCAGAGATCTTTTGCTTTATTCCTGGAAAAGAGAAGGAACAGAACAGACAACGCTGTGGGAACACTCGCTCCTGCGCTGGTATGCTTTGCTTACAAGGCTTGAAATGCTGCGCCTTCTCACCTCCCCGCCCCTTTGGCAAATGAGCAACTGTTGTCTTTGCTATGTAAACCGGGATGGGTTACTCTCTGCAGCGCAGTCCATGTCAGTCGCGGAGGTTAATAAGTAACCAACCAAGTAACCAACCGCAGGGGAACCCAACGCCTGCCTTTCGGGGTCATGCACTTTTTGACTCTGAGGCAAATGGCTGAGCCCTTTTAAGCTGTCCTTTCCTCCCTGGAAAGTGGGACAATGTGAATACACAACTGCTGGGTTACTGAGGAATCCCACGGAAACCACCTAGGATGGCTGTGAAGATGCACATCTAACGAGTGTTGCCATTGGCCGGCTGCCCGTGCCACCTCTGCCCATTTTCAACTTCAAGTC